CTCCCATGAGCTCTCTCTCCCACGCTTCCTTCCCAGCTTTCCTCCCATAAGCTCTCCACAACAGCTTCCTTTCTGGCTCTCCTCTCATGAGCTCTTTCCCATAGCTTCCCTCTTGGCTCTCCTCTCGTGTGCTCTCTCCCACAGCTTCCTTTATGGCTCTCCTCCTGTGAGCTTTCTCCCACAACTTAAATATATATAAAGTCCCCCTGCGCTTAAATGGAGTATACATAAAGTATATATATTATATATATATATAATGATTATTATTATGTCCCATTACTTTTGGTCCCTTAACAAGTGGGAGGCACATATGCAAACTGTTGTAATTCCTACACCGTTCACCTGATTTGGATGTAAATACTCTCAAATTAAAGCTGACAGTCTGCAGTTAAAGCACATCTTGTTCGTTTCATTTCAAATCCATTGTGGTGGTGTATAGAGCCAAAAATGTTAGAATTGTGTCCATGTCCCAATATTTATGGACCTGACTGTAAATATTTGGTGAATATGAAAAGTTCGTTCATGTCAATACTTTGTTATATATCCTTTGTTGGCAATGACAGAGGTCAGACGTTTCCTGGAAGTCTTCACAAGGTTGGCACACACTGTTGCTGGTATGTTGGCCCATCCTCCATGCAGATCTCCTCTAGAGCAGTGATGTTTTGGGGCTGTCACTGGGCAACACGGACTTTCAACTCCCTCCAAAGGTTTTCTATGGGGTTGAGATCTGGAGACTGGCTAGGCCACTCCATGACCTTGAAATGCTTCTTACGAAGCCACTCCTTCGTTGCCCAGGCGGTATGTTTGGGATCATTGTCATGTTGGAAGACCCAGCCACGTTTCATCTTCAATGCCCTTGCTGATGGAAGGAGGTTTGCACTCAAAATCTCACGATACATGGCCCCATTCATTCTGTCCTGTACATGGATCAGTCGTCCTGGTCCCTTTGCGGAGAAACAGCCCCAAAGCATGATGTTGCCAGTGAGTGATGAAAGTGTTGGTTTCTGTGTTGGTGTCAGCACACTTACCCTCCATGGCTAAAATGCCCCCTCGCCTCCACTCTGCGACCCAAATGGGCCACTAAGCCTCCAGGATCAATCCTAGATCCTTCTCCAGCAGTATCTGATATCCTCTTTACTCCTCCTGTGGTTCCCCTCTCAGGTAAGTGATCTGTGCTCCAGACCTCCCAGGATAGATACACGAGCTCTGTATATCACTCACCCTAAGATCCTTCATAGTGCAGTATTTTAGTAGATAAATCAGACTCTTTATTAAAAAATGCCCACACTCACTTGTTGTACATCAATTTCACATCATCAAACAGTATAGAAACCTCATGCCAGGGTGTACTGCATGGGTTAGGACTTGCCTGGGTGTGCCAAGATGGCGCCCGCACCGGAAGTACGTCACAGCGGACCGGAAGCTGCGTCACGGCGTATCTACGCGTTGCGTCACTATACCATGTGACTCCATCAAGATCTCATAAGCTTTTCCCAATAGCTTCCTTTCCGGCTCTTCTCTCATGAGCTCATTACCATAGCTTCCTTCTCGGATCTCCTCACGTGAGCTCTATCCCACAGCTTCCTTCTAAGCTCTCCTCCTGTGAGCTCTCTCCCACAGCTTCCATCCTGGCTCTCCTCCTGTGAGCTCTCTCCCACAACTTCCATCAAGCTCTCCTCCCATGAGCTCTCTCCCACAGCTTTCCACCCTTGCTCTCCCCCCGCTAGCTCTCTCCCACAGCTTCCTTCCCGACTTTCCTCCCGTGAGCTCTATCCCACAACTTCTATCCCGACTTTCCTCCTATGAGCTCTTTCCCACAGCTTCCATCCTGCTCTCCTCCCATGTGCTCTCTCCCACAGCTTCCTTTCTAGTTCTCCTCCCGAGAGCTCTCTCCCACAGCCTCTTTCTGGGCTTTCCTTACGTGAGCTCTCTCTCCCACAGCCTCTTTCTGGACTCTCCTCATGTGAGCTTTCTCCCACAGCTTCCTTCTAAGCTTTCTTCCTGTGAGCTCTCTCCCACTGCTTCTATTTTGGCTGTCCTCCTGTGAGCTCTCTCCCACAGCTTCCATCAAGCTCTCCTCCTGTGAGCTCTCTCCCACAGCTTCCATCCTGGCTCTCCTCTCGTGAGCTCTTTCACAGCTTCTATCCCGCTCTCCTCCAATGTGCTCTTTTTCACAGCTTTCTTTTGTCTCATGAGCTCTTCCCAACAGCTTCCTTTCTGGGCCTACTCTCATGAGCTCTCTTCCATAGCTTCCATCCTGGCTCTCCTCCTATACTCTCTCTCACAGCTTCCTTTCAGACTCTCCCACTGTAAGCTCTATTCCACAGCTTCCATGCTGGCTCTCCTCGCATGAGCTCTCTCCCACAGCTTTCTTCTAAGCTCTCTCCCATAGTTTCCATCCTGGCTTTCCTCCTGTGAGCTCTCTCCCACAGCTTCCATCAAGCTGTCCTCCCATGAGCTCTGTCCCATGTTTTCTATCCTGGCTTTCCTCGCATTAGCTCTCTCCCACAGCTTTCATCCTGGCTTTCCTCCTTTGAGCTCTCTCCCACAGCTTCCATCAAGCTGTCCTCCCATGAGCTCTGTCCCATGTTTTCTATCCTGGCTTTCCTCGCATAAGCTCTCTCCCACAGCTTCCATCCTGGCTTTCTTCCCGTGAGCTCTCCCCTACAACTTCCATCCTGCTTCTCTTCTCATGAGCTCTCTCCCAGTTTCCCCCCTGGCTCTTTTCCTGTGAGCTCTCTCCCACAGTTTCTATCCTGGCTATCTTCCCATGAGCTTTCTCCCACAGTTTCCATCCTGACTCTTCACCCATGAGCTCTTACCCCCAATTTCCTTCTCGACTCTCCTCCCATGAGATCTCTCCCACAGCTTCCTTTCTGGCTCTTCTCCCATAAGCTCTCCCCTACAACTTTCTTCCTGGCTCTCCTCACATGAGCTCTCGCCCACAGCTTCCTTTTAAATTCTCCTATTGTGAGCTCTCTCTTGCAGCTTCCATCCTGGCTGTCCTCCCACTGCTTCTATCAAGCTCTCCTCCTGTGAGCTCTTTCCCACAGCTTCCATCACGCTCTCCTCCTGTGAGCTCTTTCCCATGCTTATCGTCCTCGGTCTCCTCTAAAGAGCTCTTGCCTAGAGCTTCCATCCTGGCTTTCCTTCCATGAGCTCTCTCCCACAGCTTCCATCATGGCTCTCCTGCCATTTGCTCTTTCCCAGAGCTTCCCTCCTGGCTCTGCTCCTGTGAGCTCTTTCCCACAGCTTCCATCCAGGCTAACTTCCAATGAGCTCTCCCTCATAGCTTCCATCCTTACTCTCCTCCAATGAGCTCATACCCCCAACTTCCATCCTGGCTCTCCTCCCATGAGCTTTCTCCCACAGCTTCCTTCTTGGCTATCCTTCTGTGAGCTCTTTCCCATAGCTTCCTTCCCAGCTGTCCTCACATGAGCTCTTTCCCACAGCCTCCATCCAGCTTTCTTCCTGTGAGCTCTCCCACAGCTTTCTCCCCAACTCTCTTCCCCGGAGCTCTCCCCCACCAATTCCTTTCTGGCTCTGCTGCTGTGAGTTCTCTCCCACAGCTTCCTTCCGGCTCGCCTTCCATAAGCTCCCCCCAACAGCTTCCTTTCCGACTCTCCACTCATGAGCTCTCTCCCATAGCTTCCTTCCTGGCTCCCCTTACGTGGGCTCTCTCCCACAGCTTCCTTCTAAGCTCTCCTCCTGTGAGCTCTCTCTCACAGCTTCCATCCAGGCTCTCCTCCCAGGAGCTCTCTTCCACAGCTTCCATCCTGGCTCTCCTCTTGTGAGCTCTCTCCCACAACTTCCGTCCTGGGTCTCCTTCCATGAGCTTTCTCCCACATCTTCCATCCTGGCTCTCCTCCCATGAGCTCTCTCCCACAGCTTCCATCCCCGCTCTCCTCCCGTGAGCTCTCTCCCACAGCTTCCTTCCCGGCTCTCCTCCCATGAGAATAGAAAATAAAAGTGTAACAGTGTGTACCCAGAGATGGACGCGGTTCAACCATTTTGGCTTCAACCCCCATCTTGGCAAAGGGATTAACAATCCTGACAACATATTTCTCCCTCATTCTTCCCCCCTCCCTCTCTGAGGCCCAGCGACATTTGGCCAGTATGTGTGTGAGTTGAACCACAGGGTTGTTACCCTCTGGCCCGGGAAGCAGCCTGGTGTATGATTGGCTGTCTGGGAGCGCAGGCGATCCCGATGTCCCCTCAATGAAGACCTGTCACCAGCCCAGTGCCATCCCTGGGGAGGATATGCAGTGTAAAAGTGGATGGTGATCCCACCATGGAAGGCCTGGTTCCAGCACTTCCTGTTATAGGGTGACAACGCTTCGGCCCTGTCCCCAATTGTTCTCCTACGTTGTTATCTTCAGGACCCCCCCTCCATGCCACTGGGTTGTCAGGGAATGTGGAAAATGTTTATGACAACAAATGTTATAAAGTGTAAACGTTGTCACTGCACAGATCATCGCAGCAGATGTCAGGCGGGCCGGGTCACATGTCGGCGCTGGAGCGGACAGGAAGTGATGAGCGGAGCAGGTGACACGAGGGCAGAGCACCCTGCGGACTACATCTCCCGGCATGCTCCGCTCCAGCGGCCAGCCCCTCACACTCGTCAACCTACGGTCTACTGGAGGCGGAGTCTGCGAGCCGTGAGGAGGGGCGGGGCTCTGGCTGAGTGGCGGCTGCCTTGGCGCGCAGCTGGAAACAGCGGTGGGCGGGGGCTGTAATGGTTGCCCACCTTCTGTGGGCGGAGTTAGCGGAGCTGTTTAAGACGGGGGGCAGAGTTACGCCGACACTTTTTTCGGATCTGGGCGGGGCCGGCGGTGACGTTGTGTGAAGAGAGGGGGGTGGGAGGTCGAGCCCGGCTGTCAGTTCGGGGCGGGCCAGGCGTGACGTGTGACGGTTCGGGGGCGGGGTTAGAAGCGGCGGCCTGGGCGCTCTGGTCTTCCTGTGTGTGAGGCGGCGGAGGTCGGAGAGCGGGAAGAGGAGCGATGGACCCCAATATCCTGATCGAGGCCCTCCGGGGTACCATGGACCCGGCCCTGAGGGAGGCCGCCGAGAGACAGCTCAACGAGGTGAGACCCCCGGAGGGGGAAGGCGAGGAGCGCCGGCCGCACGTGTCACCTCCGACCCCGAGCACGTGTACCCCGCCCCCACCCACCGGGGGAGACACCCCCAATACCGCCGGGGGGCACCGGCACCTGTCCGCCGGAGAGCCCCCACCGGCCGGAAATTCCCCTCCCCCTTCCCCCGTCATATGTAACAGTGCTTCCCCCCCCCCCCCCCCACACCACGTGTGATATGGGGGACCCACCACGTGATACGACACCCCCAGTACGGGGCATGACACCCCCTCCCCCCCCACACACACGGTGCCCCCAGCAGTTACAATGGGGAGACCCCCAACAGGGGACATGACACCCCCCTTCCCCCACCACGTGTGAATCCCCCATGCATGGGGTGACCCCCCCCAATAGGGAACATGACCCCCCACATGTATACCCCCTGAGGTCACATGGGGTAACCCACCCCCCTAACAGGGGACATGACACCCCCTCCCAACACCGTGTGAAACCCCCATACATTTCGTGACCCCTCCATGATATATACCGCCCCCAATAGGGATCCCCCACATATATACCCCCCCGAGGTCACATGGGGAAACCCCTCCCTCTGGGGAATTGACACCCCTCATGTGCTTCACAAGATGCCCACTATCCCCCTCCCCCACATTCTGTATGCGACCCCCCCCCCTCCCCATTCCTACCCCCCTTTCAGGTCACCACCCCCCAATAAGGAACATGACACCCCCACCCCAGAGGTCACATGGGATCCCCCCTCCCACAGGGGACATGACACCCCCATATGTGCTTCACAAGACACCCCACTTTCCCCCACCCCCCATTCTGTATTCCAACCGCCCTGTATGGTCCACCCCCGAATAAAGCGAACCCCCCACATATGTCCCCCCCCAGAGGTCACATGGGGATACCCCCCCCCGAGGTCACATATGTGCTTCACAAGACACCCCACTATTCCCCTTCCCCACATTCTGTAGCTAACACCCCCCCCCCCGAGGTCACCCCCGAATAAAGCACGACACCCCCCACATATGTCCCCCCCCCAGAGGTCACATGGGGGATACCCCCTCCCACAGGGGACATGACACCCCCATATGTGCTTCACAAGACACCCCACTTTCCCCTCCCCCACATTCTGTATTCAACCCCCCCCCCCCGAGGTCACCCCCGAATAAAGCACGACACCCCCCACCCCCCCCCAGAGGTCACATGGGGATACCCCCCCCACAGGGGACATGACACCCCCATATGTGCTTCACGACACCCCACTTTCCCCCCCCCCCACATTCTGTATGCGAACCCCCCCCCCCCCCCGAGTCACCCCCGAATAAAGCACGACACCCCCCCCCACATATGTCTCCCTTACCCCCTTAAATGATGTGTAGGTCACATGGGGGTGTGCGTTTTATGTGATGTACCCCCTATTTCACCACTAGGTGGGACATGACACCCCCTCCCCCCATACCCCCATGTGCTTCACAAGGACACCCCACTTTCCCCTCCCCCACGATTCTGTATGCGAACCCCCCCCCCCCCCCCCCCGAGGTCACCCCCGAATAAAGCACGACAGCCCCCCCACATATGTCCCCCCCCCAGAGGTCACATAGGGGGATACCCCCTCCCACAGGGACATGACAACACCCCCATATGTGCTTCACAAGACACCCCACTTTTCCCCTCCCCCACATTCTGTATGCAGCCCCCCCCTTCCTCGTACCTACCCTCCCGGAGGTCACCCCACCAATAAGGAACATGACAGCCCCATGTGATGTATGTCATCTAAGGGTCATGACACCCCCCTCACCTAGTGCTTCAGAGGACTTCCACACGTTGGGTGCCCCCCCCCCGGTCCCCTGTTAGGGGCAGACCCAATAATGGGCAATGGCAGCCCCTCCCCCCACCGTGTGTAGCCCTCCCATGTCACCATAAAATAGTACATAGAAAACCCCCCCCCATGTGATGAACCATCCTCCGCTGTAGGACAGCCCCACCTCCCTCCCCAACATGTGTCGTGACCCCCCCATCCTGGTGTGTCATATCCAATGTGGTGTTCCCCCCCTTCCCGACACGTATGGTGCACAGGACAGGCCTCCCCCCCCCTCCATCCTTATAGCATGTTTGTCTGACACTCCTTACCCCCCCCCCCACACACCACATAGGTCAGACCCCCCCCCCCACCCATATGTGTAGCTCCCCCTCCTCTCTCCTGTCACTCCACACAGTGACATATAATTGACCCCCCCAAACATTACATTCTAAGTACATAATCTGTGCGCCTCACATGTCAGAGCCCCCCTTACATGACCCGCCAACATGGGAAGTGTGGGGGAACACATGGTGTGTGTGTGGAAGGGGGGTGGGCAGCAGGCCCCCTACCCATGTCACCCTGTGTGCCCCGTCCATATGTGCCCATAGATTGGACTGTACCCCCCCCCCCCCCCACAATGTGTATTCCCTACATTGGCCTCTACCCCCCCCCCCCCACAATGTGTATTCCCTACATTGGCCTCTACCCCCCCCCCCCCACAATGTGTATTCCCTACATTGGCCTCTACCCCCCACCCCACCCCTACATTGGCCTCTACCCCCCACCCCACATGTATTCCCTACATTGCCTCTGTATTCCCTACATTGGCCTCTAACCCCCCAACCACCACATGTATTCCCTACATTGGCCTCTACCCCCCCCACCCCACATGTATTCCCTACATTGGCCTCTACCCCCCACCCCACATTGTATTCCCTACATTGGCCTCTACCCCCCCACCCCACATGTATTCCCTACATTGGCCTCTACCCCCCACCCCACATGTATTCCCTACATTGGCCTCTACCCCCCCCACCCCCCACATGTATTCCCTACATTGGCCTCTACCCCCCACACACCCACATGTATTCCCTACATTGGCCTCTACCCCCCACCCACATGTATTCCCTACATTGGCCTCTAACCCCCCACCCCACATGTATTCCCTACATTGGCCTCTACCCCCCACCCCACATGTATTCCCTACATTGGCCTCTACCCCCCCCACCCCACATGTATTCCCTACATTTGGCCTCTACCCCCCCCCCCACGTGTATTCCCTACATTGGCCTCTACCCCCCCCCCACGTGTATTCCCTACATTGGGCCTCTACCCCCCCACCCCACGTGTATTCCCTACATTGGCCTCTACCCCCCCCCCCCACGTGTATTCCCTACATTGGCCTCTACCCCCCCCCCCACCACCCCACGTGTATTCCCTACATTGGCCTCTACCCCCCCCCACCCCCCGCGTGTATTCCCCTACATTGGCCTCTACCCCCCCCCCCCCCACACCCGTAGTGTATTCCCTACATTGGCCTCTACCCCCCCCCACCCCCGTGTATTCCCTACATTGGCCTCTACCCCCCCCCACCCCCCGCCCGTGTATTCCCTACATTGGCCTCTACCCCCCCCCACCACCCCGCGTGTATTCCCTACATTGGCCTCTACCCCCCCCCCCCCCCCACGTGTATTCCCTACATTGGCCTCTACCCCCCCCCCCACCCCCACGTGTGTTCCCTACATTGGCCTCTACCCCCCCCCCCACCCCACGTGTGTTCCCTACATTGGCCTCTCTACCCCCCCCCCACCCCACGTGTATTCCCTACATTGGCCTCTACCCCCCCCCCCACGTGTATTCCCTACATTGGCCTCTACCACCCCCCCCCCCCCCACCCCCACGTGTATTCCCTACATTGGCCTCTACCCCCCCCCCCACCCCCACGTGTATTCCCTACATTGGCCTCTACCCCCCCCCCCCCACCCCGGCGTGTATTCCCTACATTGGCCTCTACCCCCCCCCCACCCCCCGTGTATTCCCTACATTGGCCTCTCCCCCCCCCACCCCGCGTGTATTCCTACATTGGCCTCTACCCCCCCCCCACCCCGTGTATTCCCTACATTGGCCTCTACCCCCCCACCCCGCGTGTATTCCCTACATTGGCCTCTACCCCCCCACCCCACGTTATTCCCTACATTGGCCTCTACCCCCCCCCCCACCCCACGTGTGTTCCCTACATTGGCCTCTACCCCCCCCCCCCCCCACGTGTGTTCCCTACATTGGCCTCTACCCCCCCCCCCCCCCACGTGTATTCCCTACATTGGCCTCTACCCCCCCCCACCCCACGTGTATTCCCTACATTGGCCTCTACCCCCCCCCCCCACCCCACGTGTATTCCCTACATTGGCCTCTAACCCCCCCCCCCCCACGTGTATTCCCTACATTGGCCTCTACCCCCCCCCCCCCCACCCCACGTGTATTCCCTACATTGGCCTCTACCCCCCCCCCCCCCCCCCCACGTGTATTCCCTACATTGGCCTCTTAACCCCCCCCCCACGTGTATTTCCCTACATTGGCCTCTACCCCCCCCCCCCCACGTGTATTTCCCTACATTGGCCTCTACCCCCCCCCCCCCCACGTGTATTCCCTACATTGGCCTCTACCCCCCCCCCCCACCCCTACACGTGTGTATTCCCTACATTGGCCTCTACCCCCCCCCCCCACGTGTATTCCCTACATTGGCCTCCTATTCCCTACATTGGCCTCTACCCCCCCCCCACGTGTATTCCCTACATTGGCCTCTACCCCCCCCCCCCCACGTGTATCCCTACATTGTGGCCTCTACCCCCCCCCCACGTGTATTCCCTACATTGGCCTCTACCCCCCCCCACCCCACGTGTATTCCCTACATTGGCCTCTACCCCCCCCCCCACGTGTCCATCCCTACATTGGCCTCTACCCCCCCCCCCCACGTGTATTCCCTACATTGGCCTCTACCCCCCCCCCCCCACGTGTATTCCCTACATTGGCCTCTAACCCCCCCCCCCCCCCCCACGTGGCCCTACATTGGCCCTACCCCCCCGTGTCTATTCCCTACATTGGCCTCTTACCCCCATTGGCCTCTACACCCCCCCCCCCGTGTATTCCCTACATTGGCCTCTACCCCCCCCCCCCCCGTGTAATCCTC